ACTAGCTAGCTATTTTACACATGGTTGTGTATATATCTCAATGCCACTGTCTCAATTCATCCCACCCTCTCCTCGGCCCGCTGTGTCCACAAATCTGTTCTCTACATCTGTGTCCCTATCCCTACTCTGCAAATAGGTTCCTCAGTATCATTTTTCTAGATGCCATTTGTTGTTGTTGTTGTTCAGTTGCTCAGTCGTGTCTTTTTGCAACTCCATGGACTGCAGCATGCCAGGCTTTCCTGTCCTTCACCATCTCCCAGAGCTTGCTCAAACTCATGTCCATTGAATCAATTATGCCATCCAACCATCTCATCCTCTGTCATCCCCTCCTCCTGCCTTCAATCTTTCTCAGCATCAGGGTCTTTTCTAATGAGTCCGTTCTTTGCATCAGGTGGCTAAAGTATTGGAGCTTTAGCTTCAGCATCAGTCCCTTCAATGTATGTACATTAATGTATGATATTTGTTTTTCTCTTTCTGACTTACTTCGCTCTGTATAACAGGTGTTTTAAGATGCCTTTGTGACAACAGGCAAGCTATCCAATCAGCAGTTTGGAATAGGGATCTAGAGATCAGAGCAGGGATTAGATGCAGAAATGTAGATTTGAGAGGTATGCATATAAAGGTCTGATTTGATGGAAAGTTTAGCTGTCTTCATTAGGTAATAAATGAAGGAGAAAGAAGAACTTCCTAACTAACATTTAACAGATACCTAAACAATTGAACTTATTATCCCTATTTTCCATGTTTGGAAACTGACATTTCAGATATTGAAGGACTAACTTAGTCACATGGATAGTCCTCAAGCAAGGAATAGACCCTATTTGACTTTGGATTCTGTGTTCCAACAAAACTTTATCCCTGCACAGCTCCCTGAAGAGTTCCGTTAAGTTAAAGTCCACTTGTCAGTTTCTACCTGGTTGACGGTGGAGGTGCGAGCTGCATAATTGATAGACGAGTTTTCAGAGGCTGTCAATGGACGTGTCCTGATTTTTAAACTTCCATTTGGTGTACCCTGGCATTGCACTGAGCCATCACAGAGGTCTGTGTTTTACCCAATGGTTTTGTTTAATCCTTAACCCTAATTGACCATACTATTATCACCCCTTTTATGCACATGTTGTACAGATGACCCCATGGGGGTGGACCCTAGCCAGGAGTGCCTTCCACTGTGGGTCTGAACACAGCCTCGTGTTTGGCTCACCCTGCATGAATCCTGTTGTATTCTTTAGGGTTTCTATTCCAGACCATTGATCAGGAGGAAGGCTAAAGAGTTCTTCCTTTGTGCTGGGAAGATTGGGCAGGATTTTTCATTACACTTCTTGCAGTTCTATTAGGAGTATAGGTTCCTCCATGCTGGCTCTGCAGGCCTGGAGGGTCAGCAAATGGAATTTTCTACGGCAAACCTAATAACTCACTTTCCAAATGTTGTGCCATTGAATACTTATGGAAAATACCTTTTGTTTTGTTTATAGTAATAGGCATATAATATCCAGGCATATTTTATTAGGATTTCTCTTTGGGTTAGCATTCTGACTTCATATTATCTCAGTAATCACGTTGAATCAGCCTTCTGAAGATTCTCCAACATTCTCTGTATGTCTCTCTGTATAAGAACATCTGTCTAAGATTCATGTCTAGTCTGAAAAGTGGAACTTAATAATGGACTTTATAGATCCATTGCCTCATCCATGGGTCCTGGAGCACTGTCAAAAGGAGGCCTTGGTGATAAGAAAATGCACTTGTGAGCAGGACTGGAAAACGGAGGGTTTCGGGGGTGTTGGAAACAAACAAGCTGGGAACTCAGAGCCACTGGATCCGATGCCTTTGTTAATCCTCTGTCACTTTTATTTCTGCTTAGTCACAGCTGAGGGAGGCACTGCAGGGCTTGTATTCAGGCCTCTGTCACAGTTAAGCAGAGCAGCTGTCCTCTGTCAGCATGGTTCCCAGAGACACACGTGGCAGGTGAGCAAGGACTGCCTTCGCTGAGCACCTGAACTTGAGAATCTTTCCTGCTGCGGGCAGAAATGCAGTGACCTTGTGCAGCTCACTGTATTCTTTGAGCCACAGCCTTTAACCTGTGAAATTGGAATTGCAGTCCTATCACTTATTTGGTCTGAATAGAAAGAATTTCAAGGCATAAGTAATAAAAATAAGTAACAGAGAAATGTTTTGGAACATCTTCCAGTGTGAGTCTGTCTGTTCTAGGACATACATGCATGTAAGTGCATGTAAATATACATCAGTATGTATTCATATGGAAGCTTCATAGAAGGATGTACAAGAAAATTACTGGACCTTGGGGAAAAGGGAACTTTATATTGTTTTTCCTTTGGTAATATTGAGATTTTTTTTTTACCATACCATTTTTTTTTTACCATAATATATTTTGAAAATCAAAGTGAGAATATCTTCCTTATAAGGTGCTTGTTAAGGATCCAGTGAGATACAGGGTGATGGGAACGTCTAGGTGGTTTATGAACAGTGAATTATTTCTTGCTCCGTAGACCTGGAGAGTCCAGCACATACACTCCCTGCTATGCACAAGCTTCACTTGTCTTCCCACAACTGTACTGGCCTCTGATCTTAATATAATAGGAAAGATGAGAATCAGGAATATACAGATTACCCTGGGCCCCTGATGACTACCGGTGTCCTGCCTGGGTTTTCTGCTCGATGAAATGGAGAAGTCTTTCAATGCCAAAGCTTGTTGAATGTCTCTCTTCAGTTCAAGTCAGTAGGGACCTAGTGAGGCAAAGCCAGGGTTAATTTGAGGTGCTCGTGAGTGAAGCACACTGCTGGGACTTTCCGTAGGGAATTCTGTGATGCCCAGTTTCCACCTTTAGACCTGAATCGCTCCTTCCTGCTCTGCCAAGGACAATGGTGGCCGATAGCGGGTGCCCAATTCCCTCTCTGAAGGCTGCTCTGTCTGAGAGAGCCGCTGACCAAGGTCACACTTCCTCCCTAGGTGACCAGTAACAGTTAACACACGAGTACAAAGGCCTGGCCAGAGAGCTCTGCAGGTCCAGAGCTCCCCCTGGGGTTGACTGAGGTCTCTGTGCCTGCAGGAGGGTGCAGGGGCTCCTCCCTCTGCCCCACCCCCTCCCATGGGCATTGCTCCCCAGAGCACACACCACAACCTTCCTGCAGGCTGATGTCTGTCTTGCAGTCTTTTACCAGGGAATTCAAAAAGCAATTCGAAAGCTTTCGAATTGCGGCACTGAAGAAGACTCTTGAGAATCCCTTGGACTGCAAAGAGATCAAACTAATTCAATTCTAAAGGAAACCAACCCTGAATTTTCACTGGAAGGACTGATGCTGAAACTCCAATACTTTGGCCACCTGATGTGAAGAGCCAACACGTTGGAAAAGACCCTGATGCTGGACAAGATTGAGAGCAAGAAAAGGGGGTGATAGAGGATGAGATGGTTGGATGGCATCACCAACTCAGTGGACATGAATATGAGCAAACTCTGGGTGATAGTGAAGGACCGGGAAGCCTGGCGTGCTATAGTTCATGGGATTGAAAAGAGTCAGACATGACTTAGTGACTGAAAAACAGCAAGGAATTAACCTAACACTGTCTCAGAGAGAGGTGGCGGCAGACCTGACTGAGACTTCCAGCCAGGTTTCCTAATTTGTACCACTTTGCATTCCATGACCCAGCAATCATGATGTAGTGATGAGAGTGCATGCAATTACACCCACCTTTGCGACACCATTGGAAGTAGAGGAAGTTCAGATGGCTGTTGACCCCTATCAGACCTTCTCTGTCCCCACTGCACCAACTCAGCCCTCTCAGAAGGAGCCAAGGGAGAAGGCAACAATGAGGGCAGGAGGCTGCCTCATGGACAGCACGCAGGTCAACTCACAGCAGCCAAGAGGATGTAGTTCCGACAACATTTTACCTGTAGTTTCACCGAGCAGGACAGGCTAGGAAGCACAGGATGGTGAAGAGACATTTACTTGCTCCGCTCATAGTCACACGAGCCATAGATTCCTCCACCCATGAAATTCTCCTGCTCAGTACTTGGTGTGTGTGCGTGGGTGTGTGCTAAGTTGCGTCCAACTCTGCGACCGTATGGACTGTAGCCCGCCAGGCCCCTCTCTCCATGGGACTCTCCAGGCAAGAATCCTGGAGTGGGTTGCTGTTCCCTTCTCTAGGGGATCTTCCCGACCCAGGGATAAACCCGTGTCTCCTATGTCTCTCGCATCGGCACCTGGATTCTTTACCACTAGTGCCACCTGGGAAGCCCACAGTACACAGTACCTCTGTTTTTCTGTCCAACCCTATCTCTGAGAATCCTTTCTCTCGTTTTTAAATCCTTCTGACATTCACCCAAAGTCATCCTTCTCTGGCGGGGTTGCAAGAAATTCAGAGCTGTCCTGGTCCTACTCCATCGTGTCTCGCCCACAAGTAACTTGTGGACTCAGGAATATTTTCCTCTTCAGATAAATGACTTGTCATTATGGGTGTGATGTGTCTTACACCTGCAAACACAGTATGGAGCATTCTCAAACTCCATGGTCACACCCACAGCCTCTGACACTTTCAACACTGAGAGCTGAAACCCACTGACTTCTTATTTTATAGCAAAGCATTTTTCTCTGCCTCAGCACTGTGCTCTTCAGTCAAGACCTCTGAGATCTTTCTCAGTGTCTTCTCTCCCTGTGAAAAGGAACCCCCTCTGTCGGTCACGTGGCTTCTTCTTACAGTGGCAAGAGAAAGAGGCTTACAAGAGGGGGCGACATTCACTTGCCCCAAACCTGTGAGGTCCGTGCCCTCATCATGGTCATCATCATCATCTAAGGTTGTTATTACTATCATTATTGCTTTAATTTGAAAATTATTAGAGACTTGGCCAATTTCAGTGGGTTTCCCATGTAGAAGGGTAGGGAGGAGACTCCAGCTCTTCTGCTGGAGTCTTGACCATCTTCGCCAGTTTTCTCAGGACCAGGCCACAGGGTGGTCCTCAGCTTCTGCTTCTGTTTGCCCCCCACAGGGGAGCTTCTATGTGCCCTCCGAGAACTGCATGCAGCACGCTTACAAGTGGCACCGGGAGCTGTGCTTCCTGCTCTTGCACGCCTACCGGGGACTGCGTGCCTACTTCCTGACCATCCTGAGGGACATCCCGGAGCTGCCGCGCATGGAGCTGGGTAAGGGGCTGGGAACTTAACTGCGGGGGAGACTCACCCCTGCAGCCGACCCTCCGCTCTCGGGCTGGGGCCCCAGAAGAGTCAGCACGCTCTTGTAAATGTCACAGTAGCAAGCACTGTTTCGGGTGGGTTTGGTTTGGTTTTTGTTTTGGTGTTTTGGCATTTTACATCATTCTAGCAGGAGGACATCTTGGGTGTGCCAATATAGGAAAAGACACATGTGTCTCTAGTCATCATGTTCATTTACTCCTTCATTCATTCATCCACCAAGTTATTAAATTTATTAAACATGTATTAAACATCTACTCTGGGTACATAATGTGAAGTTGCTTTCTAAGGGAAAATGCCTATTTACAGCCTTTTTCTTAATGAGGCTGTAGCTATGGGATTGCAACTTACAAGAGTATAAAACAGTCCAAGAAATACCTACATGTATGTGTTTAATGGGTGATTAGAGAAAGCTCTCAGTAGTCATCATCTTTGGTTTTCCAGGGGTGAATTGCTCCTTGTCCATCATCAGACATCATGATCGTTGGGCCCCCTCCCTTTTGACTGACAGATGGTGGGACTGCAGCTCAGAGACGTGAAATGACCCTTCAGGGTCACACAGCCTTGCATGGCAGGACGAGGCAGGAGCACAGAGGTTCTGTGCTCAGGGCAGCCTTTTATATCAGGTCACACTCATTCATAGCAGGTGGTGGGTCATAGTTCTGCTTGAAATCCCCTAAAGAGGCCCTTTGTCCTTAGAACAGAAGCCAGGCCCTCAACCTGGTGCGTGCTTAGTCGCTTCAGTCATGTCTGACTCTCTGCAACCCCATGGACCATGGCCTGCCACGCTTCTCTGCCCATGGGATTCTCCAGGCAAGAACCCTGGAGTGGGTTGTCATTTCCTTCTCCATCTCAGCCTGGTTTTCACAGTTAATAACCGTCCTGCTGCAGGGAACCTCAGAATCTCTCCCTGAGTCCTGAGATCTCACCTGCAGAGCAAGTCATAGCTTTGGTGGGATCGGTAGCCTTGTGCATCGTCTGTTATTACACTGAACACACCACACAACAATCGTGTAGTTGCATATTTCTCTTCCCCACTAGGCTGGGGGTCTTTAAGGGCAGAAGCTGGACCTGAGCCCAGACCTCTCACACCCAGTGGTTGGTGTGCAGAATGAAGGAGTAGGTGCAATATTGTTGTTGTTGCCTTGACCTCTGGTGCCCTCTTACCATCTGGGTTTTGTCAGCTCTAAGGCCCCTTTTGAAAAAAATTATATTTGGCCACACCATGTGGGATAAGGGATCTTCGTTCCTTGACCAGGGATTGAACCCGTCTTCCCTGCACTGGGAGCACAGAGTCTTCTTAACCACCAGACTGCCGAGGAAGTCCCTCTCATGCTCTCTTTGAAGCACATGATCTTGGAGTTGAAATTTTTCAGGTCAGATGCACTCAAAGGAGACCCACACAGCTCAGAGCCAGTTTAGCTAGGGCAGAAAGTGAAGACTGTGTACTCATAGTTGGCTTCTTGCTTCAACTTTTTTTTTTTTTTTACCCAAAGAACTGAATTTATTTGTTCATTCTCTCACTCACCATATTTTTATTGAATGTTTACTGTGTACCAGGCATTGTGCCAGACCCCAAGTCACAGCCATGGGCACAGACCAAAGTCTCTTCTGCCTTGTAGGGGGTGGAGGGCAGCTAACCAGGTGGGCAAGCGTGTGCCCACTCATGAGGACCATTGGAGCTGAAGGTTTCGTTGCACTCACCTTTTCAACAATGCTTTCATTAAAACTCATGCTTCAGCCACATGAAAGGTCTCATCACAGCCTCTTGGAACTAGGGAGAGTTCAAACACAGGCAAAACTGTGAAACCACAAATGGCCAGAGTGTACCCAGTTCCTACTGAGAAGACGGCAAGTTTGCAGGCCCCTCTGCTGCCTGTGGGGAAGGTTGTAATGAGGTGGTGGTGCTGAGCAGGAGGCTAGGCTCTGCCACCCCACTTTCCTGGACTTCTGAACATCCAGCTGTGTGAAGGGGATCTAGATCTAGGTCCCAGATGTCAGGACCCAGGTGTGTGTGTGTGTGTGCACACCCACATACCCACAAAAGCGCAGCAGAATGTGGGATTGTTTTGGACCTCACTAAGTGAACCTGGGGATCTTCTGTTTCTCAGAAATGCACCCATGGAACATGTTGACTTTAACCCAGGGTGACATCACATGGCTTCAAATCATGCTTTTTATTAACAGGATCTTTTATACCCAAAAGATGATAGGAGTCCACAGAGCCTGTAATTTTTCTGTGACGTCAATGCTGACTTGAAATCTGTGCTTCTTTCCTTCCATTAGCAATTCCACAGTTCAGTATGTGTCTGTTTCATTGTTTTTTTTTTTTCTTTCTAGAGTCACTTGCTGTTGAAGAAACACTCTCTCAGCTGTGCTCAGAGCTACAGGTAATCAGGGAGCTAACTGCTTGGTTCTGAACGGCAGTCATTATATGGGGCAGAGTTGCTTGCTTGGTGTAGAGATCAGAGATGAAAAGACACGACTGGTAACCTCCTGTTACATCTTCAACTGAAGAAACAGTCTCCTATCCCACCGCCCTAAATCTCTGGGTCTCTTAGACATCTATTGTGTGCCTGGCCATGTGCTAGATATTTTGAAAACACCAAACAGGTTAACAGGTCTTGGTTTCCCTGACATTTACACTATTTATTGGGGTTCCCCAGTGGCTCAGCGGTAAAGAATCCGCCTGCAATGCAGGAGCCACAGGAGACGTGCGTTCCATCCCTGGGTTGGGAAGATCCCCTGGAGAAGGGCATGACAACCCACTCCAATATTCTTGCCTGGAGAATCCCATGGACAGAGGAGCCTGGTGGGCTATAGCCCAGAGGGTCACAAAGTCGGACATGACTGAAGCACCCTAGCACTCACACTTTTTATTGTCTATTACCCACCCACCTAACAAATGTTTGTTGACTTTGGCTTATGTGCTTCTCACGGAGGGTGACAGAAATCTCGCACCTCGGCTCAGATGGCTGACACTTGGCATGAGGCTAGCTTCAACGATGATGATGATGTTGAAACAGTGATGTATGTTCATCAAAAGTTCATCAAGCATGTACTAAGAGTTTGTGTTTAATAAGTACTCAGCTGATGCAAGCAGTTGTTTACAGTCTCTGGAGCACTGTTACATCCCATGGTGTTGGAAGGTCTGGATGAACACAGTTATCCTCATGTAATGAGAGGCACATGAGGTGGAAGGGAGCATGCCCTTCAGGGTTGGTGACATGGCTAATCCATGTCTGGGTAGGACTTGAGATGGTCTCATTGCAAACTAGCATTTCTGTCTTTTAAACCAGTGTTTCTTATCCCTGGCCTTTCAGTAGAAATACACTTGGACTAACATCTTGACCTGTGTCGCATCTAAACTGGTTGAAACTCCCAACTGGAGGTGGGAGTGGAGCTCATGGGTTTGCATTTTTCATTAAAAGCTCCCCAGATATTAAAAAATCAAAACTGAATGAGGAATCACCTCACATCTGTTAGAATGTGCTGTGCTGTGCTTAGTCGCTCAGTCGTGTCTGACTCTTTGTGACCCTCCAGGCACCTCTGTCCATGGGGATTCTCCAGGCAAGAATATTGGAGTAAGTTGCCATGCCCTCCTCCAGAGGACCTTCCCAACCCAGGGATTGAACCCAGGTCTTCCACATTGCAGGCAGATTTTTTACCATCCTTGCCACTAGGAAAACCCACCTGTTAGAATAGCTCTTATCAAAAAGACAAGAAATATGTGCCGGCAAGAATGTGGAGAAAAGGGGACCCTTGTGCACTGTTGATGGGAATGTAAATTGGTGCAGACACTATGGAAAACAGTATGGAGATTCCTCAAAATAATTAAAAATATAACTACCATACAATCTAGCAATTCCAACTTCTGGGTATTTATTCAAAGGAAATGAAATCATGAAGAGATATCTGCACCCCCGTGTTCATTGTAACCTTATGTATAATAGCCAAGGCATGGGAATACCCTGAATGTCGACCTGAATGCATAAAGAAGATGCACTGTGTCTATGTGCAGTGGAATATTATACAGTCACAAAAAGAAGTAAATCATTATATTTGTGACAACATGGATGAAACTTGATGGCATGATGCTGAGTGAAATAAGTCATTTGGAAAAAGACAAATGCTATATTATCTCATTTATATGTGGAATCTTAAAAAAAAAAAGAGGCTCATAGGAAAAGAGACCACATGGGTGGTTGCCAGGAGTAGGGGTGGGTGGAGGTGAGGGAAGCAAGTGAAGGTGGTCAAAAGGTATAAACCTCCCATTATAATTAAGTTCTGGGGATGTAATATACAGTATGGTGATTATAACACTTCTGTATTATATAGTCAAATTTACCAGGAGAGTAGATCTTAGAAGTGCTCATCACAAGAAAAAATGTTTTAGCTCTATGAGGTGATAGGTGTATTAAATAACTTTATTGTGGCAGTCACGTTGTTACCAACTAGGGTTCTCGGCCTTCTTAACCAATAGAAATTGATCAGAGGCCGGACAGGGAATTCAGGCAAGGCTTTATTGGGGTCCCTCCTACAGAAGGAGGGAGAAAGAACAAGTAACACATTCCCTTGCTTGCTCACTCCCCAAGGTGGGGGCAAGCTGGTTCTTTATATGGGGTGAGGGTAGGGTGTGTCCAGGGCCAGGGGAAGGGCTTAGGTGTTGTGTCCACCCCTTAGGAGGTGTCGTGTGCAGGGAGCATGCGCAGTACCCTGCTTTTGCCCCGGACTCTTCAAAACTGGCAGTTGGGTTTTGGTCTCTTTGTATTTTTTGCCCGGAATTTATTTCAAGTGCCCATGCACCCATCACTTGTATTCTCACACAGTTTCTTTGTATTTATCGCTGGAGGAGAGGGGTGTCCAGATGCAGGCATTGCAGCAATGCTGCGGAGGATCCCAGGTCCCAGCCTGTGTTGGGGTCACAGAATACGTGTGTATCATCATGCTGTGCGCCTGAAATGCACATTCCCCAGGTGCTGCCCCCATGGCAGCCACGAGTGCCTGGGGTCGGGGGACACAGGTGTGTACCCATTCATTTTGCCACAGAGGAGCATGCTGCCCTGAACCACTAAGGGTGGACCTGGGGCCTGAACCCAAGGCCACCTGGGAGCCACTGCGGTACTGATGTCCCCGGAGTGGTTCAGGTGACAACTCAGACTGCTAGAGATACTTCACGAAAAGCCAGTGGGTTGCCTGCCTGCTTTGGCATGGAGCCCACAAGCTGCAGGGAAATGGCCCCTGGTTTTGAGTGATGGTATTGCTGCAGACTTTAATCTGGTTCAGAGTAACCAGATTAGCTGCAGGGAGGGAGGCAGCTGGGTGGCAGGGAGGGAAAGGGGGAGTTCGGGTGTGCACCGGGCTGCTCTGTGGTTTGCGGAAGGGCTGGCCCGCTGCTGGGAGTGAAAGAAAAAGAGCTCCCTCCCCAGAACCTTCCTAAAAGGCACATCACTGCCCACAGGGTGTTTAGAGGCAGGGCATCACCACCAAGTGGTCAACCAAGCATATGGTCACAAAGCATCCATTTCAAGGGTGGACTCCGAAGTGGAAACTGTTTCGGGTGCTTTAAGACAATTTGAAAACAAACATAGAGCTCTGAAGTCACAGAGCAATTCACCTGCACTTTTATAAAAATTTATTTTCGTATTTTGACTGTGCCATGCAACATGTGGGATCTTAGTTCCCCAACCATGGATCAAACCTGTTGCCCCCTGCAATGGATCTGTGGGTTCTTAACCGCTGGACTGCCAGCGGTGTGGCTGCACTTTTACTCTATGTGAATCTTACTCACATTTCTTAAGCATCTACTATGTGCTGGCTACTCTGTTGGGAATACAACAAACAGGAAGATGGCAGAGAGCTTCCCAGGACTAACAGCCCACATGAGGCAGGAGCTGTCGGTAGCATCACTGCTGGACCAGGAGCATAAGATAGGAGGCAGGGCTTTGGGAGCACAGGCGGCTCTCAGTGAGGTCAGGAGAGAGGCAGGGAGGGACCACCATGCAAAACCAGGGTGAGACTGGACCTGATGGAGTGCCACGGGTGCTTGGGACCCGGGATGGCTGCAGGGTGGGGGTGGGGGCATTTGAAGCCGGCTGTGGGAGGCTGGGCTGGAAAGGTGAGCTGGAGCAGCTAGTCAGGGGCCCTGCTGTGCAGTGCTTTAAGAAAGGACGGGTTGTGCTCTCCGTAACCGATGGAAAGTTTCTAGTGAAACTCAGCTACACACTTTGGTACAGCAGACAGGGTCAAATCATGCAGAATATCCACCAAATCCTGATGTTTGGGTCCTACCTTCAGAGATGAGCCCAAAGCCTTTATAGTCTCCCAGTGATTCAGTTTGGGGCTTTGGGTGGTGCTAGTGGTAAAGAACCTGCCTGCCAGTGCAAGAGACTTAGGAGATGTGGGTTCGATACTTGAGTTGGGAAGATCCCTTGGGAGAGGGCATGGCAACCGACTCCAGTATTCTTGCCTGGAGAATCCCATGGTCAGAGGAGCCTGGTGGGCTATGGTCCATAGGGTCTCAAAGAGTCAGACATGACTGAAGCGACTTAGCACATGATTCACTTTGCAGCCAGGACTGAGGCCCATGATGAGAGAACACAGTTAGTTTAGGGGATATGAAGCAGGCTTTTCTCCATCTGACCCCTGCTTACCTTGAAGACGCAATGCTGCCATCAGCTCCTCCAGGAAGCCTTCCATGATCTTTTTACAGTACTCAGGATCCGTCTCTTTCACAGCACTTTGTAGGTTTAACTGTGGAGATAGATAGCTATAACTGGACCATGTGCCTCTTCCAGGACTGGATGTATTTACCTTTGGCTCCCCAGAGCTCAGCATCCTCCAAACTCACAACAGTCATCAGTAAACCGCACAAGGGGGTGGGGGTCAGGGATGATTGAGCAAAGGAGCTTGGCTGGGCCCAGGTGAACAGCAAGAGGGCAGTTGCAAAGCAGAACGGGTGGGGGTTTGCAGGCAGCTTTCCCCAAAATGGCACTGGGTCCAAGCTGCCTCCTTGTTAGCTTGAAGGGCTTCTCTTTTTTTCATCAGAGAGACCCTTCCACGCCCATCATCTGTAATTGAACAGGCCCAGGCCTCCGTGAGGGTAGGAAAGTCCTCTTGTGGCTTAATTAGAAGCTTTCTTAATCTTATCTGGAGCCATTTCTGTCATCAACTAGGGGAAAAAGTAATTCTCGCAAAGACACATTTAATGAATGGCTTTGCCTTTCCTCTCTGGTGGCAGAGCTCAGAATTCATGCTGCGTTTGCCAGTATTGCTGAAATGGAGGGTGGGGAGGGCTGGGGTGTCAGGATAAGAAGCCCAGTGAGGGAAGTTCAGTTGCTGAGGCCCAGGTGCCTCTCAACAGATGCAGAATCACCCATTTACTAAGAAAAGAGCTGCTGAGATTTCATCATCCATCAGCTGTGGAGAAGGTACAGATAATATTGAAAAGGATAAACCTCAGCGTTCAGGCCAAGCAGGGCACTGAGCAATACCTGGAAAGCGGTTCCCTGAGAGTAGTCTGTGCAAGGTCAAGTAGACTTCAAGAAGAGGAGGGCTGGTCTTACACTTGAAACACAGTAAAAGTTTCAAAAGAACCATCAGAAGCAAGGCAGACTGATGTGTGCTTAGGTATGGCTGATGCATTTTGCATCTAAACTAACACAACATTATAAAACAGTTCTAATAACAGTTAATTTGAAAAGAAAGAAACAAGGCAAACTGCATTGGCTCTGGAAACAGTTCCCTGGTGCAGAACAGACAGGTCCAAAGTGGTGGAGAGAAGAGGAAAAGAGATTGGAAGATGGGAGGAGACCTTCCAAGGAGAGGTACAAGCTGATCAAGGGTCTGGTGCTTGCAAAGAGCTGTGTGTTCAGGTTGATGTGGCTGGAGCCATGGGTAGCCCCAGGCCGGAGGTATAGCTGGGAACATGATCAGGGCAAAAAGTGCCCTGTGCTAATCCAGGAGCGTGATGTCCATTATGAGGGTAACTGGTTGGAGAATTTAAAGATAAGCCACTAGTAGTCCATCTAAAAGCCTTGCTCTCCAGCCTAAAGGTTTTCCAGTGGCTGACTGTGTCCCTCACCCTCCAAGTCCTTCCTTTTCTGACTCTTAACACTTTGGGTCATGGATTATGGGCCTGAATCAAGACTGAACATCCCGTTTTCTCCCTGACTCCCAACAGAACCAGTGATGGAAGCAATGCTTCCATGAGAAGAAAGTAAGGGTCATTCTTTCGTTTTGGAGTTTTGTACCTTGTGTCTTCATCAAAGACATATCTTGCCCCGTGGAAGAAGTAGCTTAGAGACGCTACAGTTAAATAATGCTTTGTATCTGGAAGCTAGTCATTAATTACAAAGCTGCAATACCCAACAATTAAAGAGCCTTACTGGGTGTCAGATTTCTTCTTCTCTGTTTTTCTTGCTCTCAGATGCTTCGCTCCACCCTGTGTGCATTATGCTAGTGTCAGCTGTTAGTCCAAGAAGAGTGAAGAGAACTTTCAGTGTTTCAAGCTAGGCTTTGGACATCATTATGTCCAATAAACAGTTATTTGCTTTGCACCTTCATTTTGCAGATGAGAAACTGAGGCACCCAGCAAAGAAGGAGCTCAGAGAGGAGTTTGAAATGGCCATGGTTAGGTATCTTAGCATTATTTTCCAGGGCAGATAGATCCCTACACTCTTTTTTTTTTTTCCAATGTTCTTGAGTTCATGTTTAACCATATCTTAAGGATAAGGATACTATACACATTTGTATTGAAGTATTGTTGAATTATAATATTACATTGATTTCATGTGTACAACATAATCTTTGATATTTTAGATTATACTAAATTTAAAGTTATTCTAAAATATTGGCTCTACTCTTCATGGTAAAGTCACCTTCCCACCTCCTGCACTGGATGAGGCTCTCTGGAGGCAGAGACACTCTCTTATTCATCTTCGTGTCCCCATGTATTCTAAGCATGTGCCTGGGTCATGGGAGATGCACTTTAAATTATTGGTAGATAAATGATGACACCTAGGATTCAGGGTTAGGCTTGGACCACTGGTTCTCTGGCTATACTCAGAGATGTAATCTCTCTTCTCACTACTCCAGAATAAAAGTCACCCCCAAGCAGATGGCTGTCCCAGCTTTAAACTGAAGCTAGCCTGAGGTTCCTCCACCAGCTCCAGGCCTTATCTAGGCTGAGTCCTTCAGGCTTTCATTAAGGCAACCTAGGATTCTCCTTAAGAAATGTGAAGTCGTGGCAGCAAGTTGGTGCTGGGTCTGTGGAGCCCAGCCATGTGGAAATCACCTAGCAAGTTACATGCTGTGTGTGAGGTTATAAAGACTTTATCGTTTCTCAGGAGATGTTTTCCAGCATCTACTCTGGAAAGGCAGCATGGTGCCCTGGCTTTGTGGGGGGATGATCTTACAGCTCAGTCCCAGCTTTATGTGACTTTGGGTATGCTCTATTTAATTCTCTCATTTTATTTTTGTGTGAAATGATGGTTACAATCATTCTAACAAAGGTTCATTGTAGAGATTAAGTAGTTCATGTATATATTTAAAAAGACGCTTTGTGTTTTACTTACCAAGTACTCGCTATTAATAAGTGGAAACTGTCATGATGGCCAGATACTGAGTTCAGAACATAATGGTCTATAGAGGAGAGTCTGGAGAGAGAGATTCATTACAAGCCAAGCAGCCAGTACAGTCTTCAGAGGAAGACGGCAGTAGCTGCATGGAGCAGAGGTCCTTCACCGCAACCCTTTTGCGTCCCCAGATGCTGAATAATCCGGAGAAGATAGCTGAGCAGATAAGAAAGGATCTCGCCTGGCTGGCCTCCCGCCTGACGGCCCTGTGGACCCAGTTCCTGGACACAGTGACGCTGCACTCCAAAGTGACCACTCATCTCACCCAGGAGCATCACACCTTGCGGGTAAGGGGTCAAACAGTGTAAGTTCTGTAGTCACATGGCAGAGATATCTCAAGGAAGCTTTTCAACAGTTGGTTCACTGGGTAGAATAAAAGTCAGGATTGGCTTCTGTCAACCCAAGTGCTAGTCCTGACCCACCATGAACTTGCAGAGAAATTTTGTGAACTTCCTTTGGTTCTCAATTGTTTGATCTGAAAGTTGCTCAGTCGTGTCCGACTCTTTGTGACCCCATGGACTCTATAGTCCATAGACTTCTCCCAGGCCAGAATACTGGAATGTGAGTAGCCTTCCCCTACTCCAGAGGATCTTCCTGACTCAGGGATCAAATCAGGGTCTCCTGCATTGCAGGCAGATTCTTTATCAACTGAGCCACAAGGGAAGCCCATTTGCTCTAGGGAAGTTCTTTGCTCTACTGTTCATAAAGTATCAGCCTTGGCTACCAAGTGATGGCGAGCCGATCTTAAAGAATATGATGAAGTGCTTTGAAAGTATTTTGAAAAAGTATCTTCACATGTCCTCCATTGTTCTTGAAGCCTTTTTTTTTTTTTTTTTGCCACCAGGTGGAAGTGCACAGGGGGTGGGGACTCATGCTTAATAAAAGATGTTGGTCTTCTCATTTCCAGCAAGAGGACAGAGAGCTGTCTACAAAATGCATAGTGGACACACTTACATGACTGATTTTGCACATTCTATTTCATCTGCATTTATTTATGGCCTCTGTTTTCAAGTGTCTTTTATTCTAGTAGAAGAAATAAGACCTAAATTTTAAAAAATGACAGAATGCAAAACAAGAGCAGATCAATAAACATGTGTTCAATTGTGTCCATAAATCAGGTTTGTGTTAAGAAGTAGAAATGAGAGAGGGCAGCTGTGGAGGGCAGAAAGGTGTTTCAGAACCTCTGGGTTGTGGACTCAACTCTCCTCTTATTAATATATGTTACTTCCCTCATTGAGCCTTAATTTCCTGTTAAAAAATGAAGGCCAAACCCACCCAGTGAGTCACGTTGTTTATACTGTTTTATTCTTCAGGTCCGAAGGTTTTCCGAGGCCTTCTTTTATATGGAGCACCAAAAACTTGCAGTCCTGACTTTTCAGGAAAATCTGTAAGTAACCAACGGCATGTCCACATCATACCATGAGCGCCAAGGGCATTCTTGATCAAAGTTAGCTCTTCCCTGGTCATGAAGGAGAGAGTCTGCCCATCTCCTTACATTCAGGTGCATTTTCTCTAAGGCAAGAGCCAGACAGATTGCTGAGGCTGGAGCTGGCAGGTGGTAGAGAAGGTCAGTAGCCAGAGTTTTTGCTGTTATTGAGTATCATGATGTTTCTGTAGATAGATTTGAAACTTCCTAGGTCCTTGAAGACATTTGTGCTGAGTCCTCTTTGCAAAATGAATTAGGAGCAGGTGTATGGCCACAAGCTATGTCAGGGGGGAAAAAAAACCCCACAGAATTCACCTGAGACTTTGCAGCAGCTATGAAATGCATTTAGCATAAGAATTAATACTGAACTATCTAATTAGGAGGATAGATGGGAAAATGTAAAAATGCTCAGAAAAGTCAGAGGGTTGACAGAAGATGAGGTCATTGTCTCTCATAGTAGATTTCCCTGGTGGGTAGAGTCAGTGCTTCCTGCTTTCTCCAAGATGTTTGGTCTTGGCTACGCAAGTTTAGAGGTTTCTTTCTGTTTCCAAGTAGTATGTTTGCCTCCAAAATACATCTGGATGGAATAATGCTTGAGATGCCCCAGTAAATCCAGCAGGAGAAACACTGAAATTCATCTATAGCTTAGGACAGACCTGAAGATCTTCTCACTTTCTTCTTTTTTGCACCTGTAAAACCTGTATAGAGTCATGTGTGGATGTGAGAGTTAGACCATAAAAAAGTCTGAGTGCCAAAAAATTGATGCTTTCAAACTATGGTGTTGGAGAAGGTTCTTGTGAGTCTCTTGGACTGCAGTGAGATCAAACCAGTCAATCCTAAAGGAAATCAATCCTGCATATTCATTGGAAGGATTGATGCTGAAGCTGAAGCTTCAGCCACCTGATGCAAAGAACCAACTCTTTGGAAAAGACCCTGATGCTGGGAAATATTGAAGACAGGAGGAGAAGGGGATGGCAGAGGATGAGATGGTTGGATGGCATCACCAACTCAATGGGCATGAGTTAGAGCAAGCTCTGAGAGATGGGGAAGGACAGGAAAGCCTGGCGCGCTGCAGTCCATGAGGTGGCAAAGATTCAGACTCAACTGAGCAACAGGAGAACAACCTGTATGTCAATGTAATATGGCGAAAGCATCACTTAGAGGTTAGGAATGTTTTGGCCAAAGTGGTAAAATACCACTTTTCTGAGGGTGTAGCATTTGAGCAGAGACTGGGGTTATACTATAACTCCAGCTCTGGGAGTTGGTGATGGACAGGGAAGCCTGGTGTGCTGCAGTCCATGGGGTCACAAAGAGTCGGACACGACTGAGCAACTGAACTGAATTGGGGTTATAATAAGTCATATCCTGATATGAGAGAAGACTGTTGAGTCAGAGGGGGTAGCTGTTGTAACGATTTCTTATATGGGAACATAAGGTGTTTGAAAGCATCAAGAAGCAGGTAGAGCTACACTGGAGTAAGCAAGTAGGAGAAGTAGGGTAGGACCCAGCCTATGTGGGATCTTATGGGCCAGGATAAAGAATTCAGACTTCGCGCTATGATAATTATAACTAACATCTTAAAGAACTGGCAAGTGACTATGGTGGAAAGACCTTGGATTTCAAATCTCATATGCATGTTTTGAAATTCTGATCCTGGAACTTATGCTGCTTGTGACATCTGACTGGTTACTGAGTCTCTCTTAGCTTGTGCTTAGGTGTAAAAGGGAGATTCCTTCGTTCAGGAAGTGCCTATTTAGTGTTGACTGTGGGCCAGACACTAGTTTGGGCATTGGACATCCAGCAGTGAACCAAACAGACACATTCTCATGGAACTCATATTTTAGTAATGGAAACATATTTAAACATAAATAAATAAATATGCTATGCCAAATGTAGTAAATGCTTTGGAGAAATATATCAGTGTGGCAGGCTGTAGAAGGTGCTATTTCTCTGGCATTTCAGAGATGGGCTCCCTGAGGAGACATTTGAGCAGAGCTCTAAAGCAGGTGAGGGACTGAGCCCTGCAGATACCTAAGTGACTATATCATTTGTCCCATAGTGTAACTTCAGCTATTAGAGAAATTGAATACCATTTAATTAGCAGTAGATATTAACCTATAATAAAGAGCATACACTAGGATAGCAATGATGCTATGTAGGAGGAGGTAAACTTAGAAGACTCTTGAGAATCCCTTGGATAGCAGGGACATCAAACCTGTCAATCCTAAGGGAAATCAACCCTGAGTATTCATTGGAAGGACAGATGTTGAAGCTGAAGCTCCAATATTTTGGCCACCTGATGCGAAGAGCCAATTCACTGGAAAAGACCCTGATGCTGGGGAAGATTGAGGGCAGGAGGAGAAGGGGCTGACAGAGGATGAGATGGTTAGATATCATCAGTGACTCAATGGACATGAATTTGAGCAAACTCTGGGAGATAGTGAAGGACAGGGGAGCCTGGCGTGCTGCAGTCCATGGGGTCCCAAAGAGTCAGACATGACTTAGTGACTGAACAAGAACAACAGAAGCTTTAGTTAGGTCGTTAAGAATAAGAACTGTATCCTAAAGGGGTGGGATTGAGGGGTGGGAGGGAGGGTCGAGAGGTAGGGGATTTGTGTTTCCTTACACTGTGCATTGTTGTGTGGCAGAAACCAACACAGCATTGTAAAGCTGTTCTCCTCCAACTAAAAGTTAATTTTTAAAATAAAAGAACTATAGAATTGAGAGGGAAATTTTATTTCAGATTGAGAAGATTACCAGAGGACATGTCTTAAGTGCTGTGAACAGAATTAAACCTTAGATTGAGATAGTGAACAGGGGCTCCGTGCTGCTGGCAACTAAGCATGCACACAGGCATTCTCATCTAGGAGTCAGACATGGAGGGGAGGGAGGTCATGCTGTTTGCATCAGAGACAGAACCATCCTCCCAAATCAGGGTGGACAAGTGAAACTCAGCTGTCAAGGCCTGTCTTGTTCAAGCACAGACTAGAGTGTGTCTCTCAAGTAATAGGTTACAGCCATTTAGTGGACTGTGAAATTGTCTTCATGGCTTTGGAACAACACTTTTTAAATGAAATAGGATAGGTAGTAATAAGAAGCTTTTGTTTCAGCATGTGTGTTTCTGGGAGTGTGTGTGATTGTACTGGGTGGTCATGGAAAATGAAGGGCATTTCTTGCCATGGGTTGCACTATTTAAAAAGTGTTTAAAAGTGACATAGAACTGGTTAGTAGCAAGGGTATGTTTTATCACCCCTCTTCCTGTTTGACCACTGCCAGCCAGTTCTTTTCACACAGGAAGGAAGTGTTCAATGACAGTTTGTTGAATGAATGAATGTGAAAATGTTGATAGTATGAAGACCTATAGCCAGGGTTTTGGGGGCTGGATAGGTAGCTGGGAATAAAGGAAGGGTGGAAAGACAGATGGCAATTGTTAGAGTCTACTGGACATCTTCTAAATGTTGTCTTGGGATGAGAGGAAAGGGACAGCAAGATTGAAACCTTTAAATCACCCCTGGATGCTCACCGGGTCCATGTTCCCCAGGATCCAGACCCACAGCCAGCTGTCCCTGGATATCCGGAATTCGGAGTACCTCACCACCATGCCCCCGCTGCCCGCAGAATGCTTGGACATTGACGGAGATTGGAACACCCTGCCCGTTATCTTCGAGGACAGATATGTGGACTGCCCAGCCACAGGTGTGTCTTTTTAGTTTTGGAAAAACTCAAGGGTTGGAAGTACCATTGGGTTCCCATCGGCTATTCTGCTTACATACCAATAGCCATGGGAACAAATCAGTGAGGTGTTTTGTCAGTTCATAGAGGAGAAACAGGAACTAAGATTAACCTTGTTATTGGAAGTGACCTCACCGCAGTGAATGGACAACTCATGGAAGTCAAGGACAGTTACAGGAAAGACCTGCTTCTGGACTCCTGGGGTGGGATGTGGGAAGGAGGTTCCAGAGGGAGGAGATGTTGTGTATAGCTATGGCTGATTCGTGTTGATGTAGGGCAGAAAAATCAACACAGTATTGTAAGGCAATTATCCACCAATTAAAACGTAAAAGTCTAGGTGACTTCTGAAAACAGTGCAGTGCTTCAAACAAAACACGTTATTGGGTTTTCAGTTAGTTGTACCCTGACATCTAGTGTCCACACTGTGCATGACAGCTTGAATGTGTATAAGCTCCAGAGACAGCAGCCAACCCAGCTGCTCAAAATAAGCGCAAAACTTTGGCTTGTGTCTGTGTGTGTGTGTGTGTGCGCGCATACACACATGCACGTGTATAGGTGTATATATATATATATGCTAATGTGTTATATATATGTTAATCTTCATTATATTTATATGATTGAACTACAGAAAATTTGAGCAGTTGGAAAATATATTTAAAATAAGCACCACTGTCTATCAGAACCCAACACGAGTAACTGACATCCTTTGTTATTGTTTAGTCATTAAATCGTGTTCAATTCTTTGCAGCCCTAGGGACTGTAGCCTGTAGACAGGCTCCTCTGTCCAGGGATTTCTCAGGCAAGAATATTGGAGTGTGTGGCCATGCCCTTCTCCAGGGGATCTTCATGACACAGGGATCGAACCTGCATCTCCTGCATTGGCAGGTGGATTCTTTGCCACTGAGCCACCAGGGAAGCGCTTCTTACTTGTGAGATTTCAGGAATTTAGAGGTTATCTCTCAGGATCAAGGATCAGGGAATAGAGTGCACACAAACTCTTTATCATACAATCAGGTGGACCACTTGTGAATGTAGAGTCTGAAGAGTATAACACATTTTTCTTTCTTTTTTGCTTTCCGTAGGATGTAATTTGAGTATTTACCCTAATTTTGATGTTCCAGCAACAAGTCCAGCAATAATGAACCTAAACAACAGAGAGGAGGACCTTGTTGTAAATAGAAAATCACCTTTGAGGGAAAGCCTTGTCTTGGCCTCCATGAAACCGCCCTGCACGGACTCTGGTGAGGTTATTAGGTGTCCCGGGCCCAGTAAGAAGGCCGCCACACCCGGTCATGCGGATGTGTGCTCTGAATCTCAGGTGTATCTGATGGTTGGTGAATTCCAGAGCAAGGCAGGTGTGCCTGAAGTTGACCATCGGACTGGCCCAAGGTCTGATGTTGGGGGGCATCCGCTGGCAGATGAGGACCTGCCCAGAAGGAGCCCTGGTCCAGAGGATGGCCAGGCCCCAGCGCTGACCTACATTGACGTGAAATCTAGCAATAAGAACCCCTTCAGAGCAGAACCCACAGTGCTCACCGGTGCCCAGCATGAGAGTGGGTGCTCCAGAGACAAGCACGAATTCGGCAGAACTGAGCGAAGCAAAGGGGTAGCAGGTGGAAGTCATCACAGTGCCGTCTTTTCAGAGAAAACCACCCTGCATGAGTTAAGTTGTCTAGGAAAGGGAGTGGACCAAGGGAGCAAGATGGTGCTGCTGAGTCTGAAGGTCACACCCTCGGAGCCCTGCGAGCCGCTGCAGTCTTCTTTGAGGGACCCCTTGGACATCAAGGGTTTGCCAAAGGACCCTCACGCAGAGGAGAAGGAGGAAGTGTCTGTCCTCTCTGGGGTCATCAAGAGATCTTCTTCCATCATCTCTGACTCAGGCATTGAGAGCGAGCCAAGCTCCGTCGCCTGGTCCGAGGCTCGCAGCAGAACCCTGGAGCTACCCAGTGACAGGGACTTCTTGCAGCAGCTGGTCCGGAGACACGCCCTGCACAGAAACTCTCTGGAGGGGGGGCACACCGAGAGCAACACGAGCTTGCCCAGCGGGATCCAGGCCTCTCTCACGTCCATCAGCTCTTTGCCTTTTGAGGAGGAGGAGCGGGAACTGGCACTCACGAAACTGACCAAGTCAGTGTCCGCGCCCCAGATCAGTAGCCCCGAGGAGTCTGCCGAGGATGCGGACTCTGCACGGCATGGGGGTGGTCCCTCTGAAACTTCAGCCGTGCCCACCGAGAGCACCGACCCTTCAGGACGCTGCCTTCGACCCAGCGATGGCCCCGCAATCCAGGAAGCTGGGGTCGACCATGGCCTTGTGGAGGAAGTCTCAGATGACAACCTGCAGGGCCCCAGTTACATAGATATCCCCAAAGGTCAGGAGGGTCGGTTTGACCCCCAAGGCCCCTGTTGTCTGGATGGCAGGACTGACAACCCTCCAGGTGTTGAAACCAAAGGTCTGAATTTAAAAATACCACGCCTCCTCGGACTCGCAGCGCCTGGGCACAGAGCTTTGCCCAGAGAACCTGTGGAGACCCCGAAAGGCGTGCCTGGAAACTCTGACATGGGGACAAGGGCTCCTCTCGACAGCGGCGTGCTGGACGTTGAGAGTCTCACCCACCCCAAGGTGCCTGACGTGAGCTGTGCAGCCACGGCCAAAATCATCAACGTGGGCTCTGCAGGGGAGCAAAGCAGCTGCCCTGGCCTCGTGGAGGATACGGCGCCAAGCAGAGGAGATGACACCTGCCCGGAGGATGTCCGAGGAGCAGACACCGTGGGCTCCGCTGTGACTCAGTCCGTTCCCTCCCAGGTTACGGGGAACCAAGAGCCCAGGGCAGGCGCCTCCATCATGCTCTCCCACGTGACCTCTGCAGAGACCTTCTCTCTGGATAGCCTGAAAGCTGTCGAGGTCGTCAACCTGTCTGTGTCTTGCACTGCCACCTGTCTCCCTTTCTCGTCTGTGCCCAAGGAGACCCCTGCCAGGGCTGGATTCTCCTCCAAACAGACCCCATTCCCCATCACTCATCAACCTTTGGGTTCCTTTGGAGTCGTTCCCAACCATTCCAGGAAGCTGGAGGAGGAAGTCAGCGAGAGAATGTTCAGGTAGGTTTGCTGATGGCCAGCTTCTATCGCAGCATCATCTTTCAGACTTTCCCACATATTTCTCAGTTTCGTGCATACTGTGTCAGGATGGCGTATCAGGTATTTTCTGATTTAAATGAAGCAATATACTCCTCTTGTACAAGTCAGGAATGTAGAATAGTAAAAGGAAGTAAAAATGATCAATAACCTCATCTCTCAAATAGAGCCCATGTGTAAGTTCTTCTATGCTTTTTCCTATGTGCATTTTTATGTATATATTTTATTGTCCTTCTTTAGTCACTAAGTCATGTCCAACTCTTTTCGACTCCATGGACTGTAGCTGGCCAGGCTCCTCAGTCCATGGGATTTCCCAGACAAGAACATTGGAGTGGGTTGCCATTTCCTTCTCTAATGTATATATTATTAATTTGCAAAAGTAAGATAATTTTTATAAACTCCGAGTTTTTTCCAGCTTCGTATATTGGAAATATCTTTCTATGTTTATAAATCTATTTTGCATTACCATTTTAGTGTCTAAATAATATTCCATTGTATAAATGTACCATGAATTATTAACAAAATCCTTTAAAGATAAACCGTAAATGTTCTTTTCAGTTTTTCTTATGATGAACAACCTCTGTCTTTGCACAATTCCTTTAAGAGCCATTTGAGAATAGGACTAATTCATCAGATTTTCTTCCTTAACACCTCTTGTGTGATTATTAAGTTTATCATTTCTTTTGAAATGCCAGAATCCATCCCTTTATCCTTGTCTTGGGTCTGTATTCATAGCAGTCCTTCCCCTATAAACTATGCATTTGATTAAACATAGTATTGAATCATCTAACCAAAGTATCCCATTTCACTCGCTTGTTCAAAAAAGGGCTGAACAGTTACACATTTATAATATCTCCAAAAGAAATTGCATAGACAGGTAAACTTTGGATCCTGTGTTTTGCGAAGACTATTAAATAGCTATTAATGCCCATGTCATCAGTTTAATTAACACATGGCAGGCACTGTCCAGTACCGGCTTGTGTCCTGTGCTCCCAGCCTCAGAAGGAGGTGGAGAGATGACAGAAGCAAATGAGGGCAGCTGCATACACGGGGTGGTCCAGGTGTGCACAGCTGAGCCAGAAAAAGAAGGACCTAATTTTTCTGTGGAGCTATCAGTGTGGATGGAAATGAATGGTGGCCAGGAGAAGCTTTTTAGAGATGACACCTAAGTGGAGGAGAAACTATGAGACATCTTGTTGATGACAATGATGGTGATGATGATATGGCTGGTAATAGATTTCATCTTTTTTTTCACTATTTAATCTGTTTCAAGTACTGTATTAAGCATTTTGCATTGATTATATCGCTTCATACACAAAACAAAGACAACTTCATGAATTCAATGAGGGTGTGATGCCCCTCTTTTTTTTACAAATGAGGAAACAGCACAGGGAGGTTAATAGTTGGCCCGCAGGTGGTTGTTGTGCTCTTTAGTCACTAAGTTGTGTCTAACTCTTTGCCACCCCATGGACTGTAGCCCACCAGGATTTTCCATCCATGGGATTTCCCAGGCAAGAATACTGGAGTGGGTTGCTGTTTCCTTCTCCATGGGATCTTCCCAACCCAGGGATGGAAGCCACATCTCCTGCATTGACAGGCAGATTCTTTACTACTGAGCCACTAGGGAAACCCCCAGATAGTAAGTGTCAAAGCTGAGGTTGTGACCTTGGAGTTCTGACTCCTGTGTTCATGCTTTTGATCACCACCTGGTCAGGTAACCAGGCAAAGAAGATGATAACCAGGTGGAAAAGGTGTTTCAGACAGATAGACCCAAATGCACAAACACATGGAAATAAAGATAAGAGACATAATTCATGCAGGGAATGAAATATCTTCTCCAACTGTTCTTTTTGGGGGCTGGGGGGTGATGCTGGAGAAGTAGGTGGAGGTCAGGGTAATAAACTTTCATTCCTGAAGCACTAATTAAAGATTGTGTGGGTCCTTGAAGCTGGATAGAATCTCTGAGGTTCTGTTCATTACAGGAACCACATCTACAGAAACCAACTCAATCTAGCCTTTGTTCTTCCTGGATTGCTTTCTTGCCTCCTTCAGAACCAAGCCTTCCTCACTAACCTCTCCCATGAGGTACCATATTCAGCCTTTGCCACTTGGCACAGACTTCCTTATAGATGTTCATCACTCCTGCATCTCAGCTCAACTCATCTCCTGTTCAACGTGGAGCACACAGCTCGACTTGTGATTAATTAGTGTATTCTCCAGTTTTTATCAGGCCAAAGAGAAATTTAAAAAAGAGCTGAAGATTGATGGATTTCTGTACAGTGACTTATCTGTACTAGCTTCTGACATACCGTATTTCCCACCAGAGGAAGAGGAAGAAAATTTGGAAGATGGGATTCACCTGGTAGTCTGTGTCCATGGCCTGGATGGTGAGTTCTAAAAGGTTTCCTCCTCAAAATGTTGTGATATAGACACATTATCATATTTATGGTTGAATCTAGATCAGGGGTTTGTTCAACAGATATTCAGTAGGCAGCCGTGGAATGATATTAAGTATACTGGATCTAGGAAAATGGCATGATCTTGCTCCCAAAGGAAAGATCTCTCTGGCAAAAAATATGTTTGAGTTAATGAAATACCCAAATGAATGAATTAATGCAATGAGGGATAAATAAGTCACATCCACTTTATATGGGATCTAACAAATAACTAAGGGTCAGAGAAATGAAAGGGCCCCTCTAGGGCTTCACCGTTGCTGAGCAGCAAAACCTGTGGTCACATACTTCTTATGATAATCAAATAGGGAATGGTGTCGGCTTCACTTCTGTGACACACTCTTGTTAATATCCTTACTTTTTCTCACTCTTGGGGCTAATGCACTTAATTGTCTGCATCCAGTGCTGGCTATACGCATCACATACCAGAATGCTGAGTCCATAGGTCTATTTGGTGAAGTGGCCAAGAATCCAGTGGTAGATCATCCACTCCAGATGATGATGATGGTGGTGGTGGTGATGGTGAAGACCAGGATGTGTACATCACTTACCATGGTCCTGGAGCCTTCTTAGATGCTTAATATATATTAATGTGGTTGATCCTGACAACAGCCCTGCAGAGTAGCTACTATTATTTGGCCCATTTATAACGGGGGAAACTGAGTAAGACGGCAGCTAACTAACTTGTATAAGGTCCCACAGCTACTGCAGTTGACTCTCCATGGTGGTCCAATGGTTGAGACTTCATCTTCCAGTGCAGGAGCTAGGATTCAATCCCTGGTCAGGGAACTAAATCCCACCTGCCTCATGGCCAAAAAACCAAAACATAAAACAGGGACAAATTCAACAAATTGTAGCAAATTCAATAAAGACTTTAAAAATTGTCCTGGTCAAAAAAAAAAATAGCTATCAATGCAGGAGGGAATATACATATATACACACACACACACACACACACACACACACACACTTGCAGCTGATCTGCGCTGTAACAGCAAAAACCAGCACAACATTGTAAAGTAATTATCCTCCAATTAAAAATAAATTTAAGAAACAGCTATCAGGCTGGGTTTTGCTGCTTATCAACAACACTTGCAGAATGTCCTGAATAAACAGAACTAATTGAAGAAGGGGGAGGCAGCATGTCTTCAACTGTTTCTGGACTGTTATGTTCACAAGCCAGAAAATGATAGGTGGGGGATTAACCCCAGTGAGAGAGGGCTGCCAGGGTGGCCCTGAGCCTGTGTGGATGGGAGGAGGGGGCCGCATGGGGACCAATGGGCTGGACATGTGTTAGTTGCTTTTGTTATGGACTTAATGAAAAAAATGGGAAGCGGGAGGGATAGGAGAGAAATAAGAAATAAATCCTTAGTGTGTCAGATGTCACAGGATTCAATGTGGGTCTGTGTGGGGTTATCTGTCCTCTTTAGGGAACAGTGCAGACCTCCGGCTGGTAAAGACTTTCATAGAACTGGGGCTCCCTGGAGGAAAACTGGATTTCCTCATGTCTGAGAAGAATCAGGTATGACAACAAAAACATCAGAACCGAACAGTCCCTAACTCATGTCTTAGATGAGCCTCCTAAAATCACCGTGATGATTATGGCCACACAGGTGGGATGGAGTTTTGCCAGGGGACCCTGGCTAGGTGCTCAGGTCTGGAGAGCTCATTTTCCTTGGGGAGGAGGAAATAATAAGAAGGGGGAACATGCGAGTCAGGTGACTGGCCCTCTCGACCTCACAGGTTGTAGGTTGGGTGACAGCTTGGAGCATAAACGATCTGTGGGTCTGTCTGGGGAAGGGCTTTGTCACTGGTGTTGGTGTAACCAGTGGAGCTGGATTGTGACGTTTTCATCATCAGAGGGAAACTATGGAGCCTTTGCCATTTCAGGGCTGGAGCTTTAATGGGGTGTCAAGGTAGATGAGCCTTGAAAGAGTCCATGACCAAGAGGTGGGGTTGGGTGTTGTCATTGATTCCCAGCTCAGGGGACTTGAGATGGATGAGGCTAAGTATCCTCTGGAGGCAGATTTCTGCTTGTAACTAAGGGCCTCATGGCCACGGAACACGGGAGCCGCACAGAGAGTAGTCAACAGGCAAAGATGGGAACTTAGTCTCATTGCTCCCGCTTAGTGGTCAGTCCTTCTGCCTTTTCTCTGACACCTGCTCTGTACAAGGCCATGTACTCTGCAGGGTGAAGGGACAGACTTGTGAGGAAGAGGAAAGAGAATCATTTTGAACATCTACGATGTGCTGAGCCCTTGGCACCTGTTTGCCCTTTTAATCGTCACAACCTTTCTTTAAAGGGTGGACCCTGTTAGCTCCCCATGGAAGAGGGAACCCATAGTCCAACCTGGAAAGCCCCAGTTGGGGGTTACTTTTCTTGATGTTGAACCCTAATTTGTAGCCTGAGGTCAAGCATGGGCATGCCCCCAGGATGTACCTTGAGGCTCGGTGGAGGAAGACGGGCTTGTGCACAGAGCCTGGCCTTGTGCAACTGCCCCCTCAATACCCATTTCCTCTCTTTCCTTCCAGATGGACACGTTTGCAGATTTTGATACCATGACTGATCGGTTACTGGATGAAATCATTCAGCACATCCAGTTGTACAACCTCTCCATATCGAGAATTAGGTAAAAGGAAACCACAGGTAGTTAATGCTGGGGGGAGCGGTGCCATTTTTAAGTGTTTGCTGTGTACAAGCTCAGCATGATGCCACTTGAATACCAGGCTGGGATTAGTTAACTTGGGGCTTTCAAGGAACTAGATTCCTTTCAGAGCAGCCGTGGGTCCCAGGGTTGCTGACATGCCCTTGTCTGGCGTAGCCGCTGTGTAGGAGCCTACAGCTTGTGCAGCTCACTACAAAGAGAACTGGACTTAAATATGTGTGTTCCGTGAGCTCAGTCCTGTCTAACTCTTTGTGACCCTTTGGACTGTAGCTTACCAGACTCCTCTGTCCACAGGAATTTTTCAGGGAAGACTACTGGAGTGGGTAGCCATCCCCTTCTGCAGGGATCTTCCCAACCCAGAGATCAAACTTGGTCCCTGCATTTCTTGCATTGCAGGCATTCTTTTTTTGAACGTTTTCTATTCCATTTATTTATGTATTTTTTCATTTATTTTTATTAGTTGGCAGCTAAATCCATGGCTGATTCATGTCAACATATGCAGGCAGATTCCTTACCTGCTGTGCCACTGGGGAAGCCCTTAAACAAATACTCTAGGTTTGAAATCCTTGTTTGTTTGACAGTTACAGGTTTGTGTCCGCATTCTACCATGTAACCTTGAACAGACTTTCTACATCTCTGATCCTGTTTCCCCATCTTTTAAGTGGACCAGCCCGAAGGGATTCATTAGCTGCCGCATAAAAGGGCTTCATTCAGCACTAACTGTGACCTTACACTGTAACAGACAACTGGGTGTCAATGTTGAAAGGGTTAAGGGGATAGTCCATAGCGTGTTCCTCAGGCACCTGCCGATGTGGACGTATCTGGAAGTGAGTCCTCAATATCCACGATCCCATTTAGGCCTTGGGAATGAACTGTCACTCCTTTATTTCATAAACGAGGATGCGGAGGCCTACAGAGTTAGGTAAAAATAAAAGGACGTGGGAGTTCCCTGGTGGTCCAGGGGCTAGGGCTCCCTACTCACTGCCGGGGCCTGGGTCCGATCTCTAGTCAGGGAACCTAAATCCCACAAGCTGCACAGCAGAGTCAGACAAACAGACAGACTGTCAACAAGCTGAGAAATTCACGGGAATTCCCTGGTGGTCTAGTGTTAGCACTCGGTGCTCTCACTGCCAAAGGCCTGGGTTCAATCCCTGGTGGGGCTACTAAGCTCCTGCAAGCCCCACAGTATGCACAAAATTAGCAATGATAATACTAAAAAGTAAGAGGACGTGGGGGCTTCCCTGGTGGCTCAGATGGTAAAGAAGCTGCCTGCAAGGCAGGAGACCCAGGTTTGATCCCTCGGTTGGGAAGATCCCCAGAGAAGGGAATGGCTACCTCCTCCAGTATTCTTGCCTAGAGAATTCCATGGACAGAGGAGCCTGGCAGTCTATAGTCCATGGGGTGGTAAAGAGTCGGACAGGGCTGAGCAGCTAACACTTTCACTTTCACTTTTCAAGAGGATACGCACGAGAAGAGCTAGGGAACTCTGCCTCTCATCTAGTTGGGTTTCTATAAATAATTATTTAAGCCGAAAGTGCTAATGTGTGGATCCACAGATCTCGGAGCAGTGGAGCGGCCAGGGCAGAGTACGCATGGGTTGCTGAGGGGGTGACGGAGGGTGGAGGAGCCCTGGAGAGGCAGGTGGAAGTGGGCCAGGCTGAGAAGCCAGGACTTGACCTATGAATGACCAGAGGGTCCGTGATCCAGGTGTATTCCAGAAAGGAGCTCCAGGTGCCCCAAGGGAGGCGTAGAGACCAGAACTGGGTGGAGGGGCTGCTCTAATAACACAAAGTGGGAAGGTGTCTGTACTTGTGACCACACTGGGCCCAGGGTCTCCATCACGAGGGCTCCATCCTGGGCTCCACGTATCCAGCGTTTGGAAACCCCAGTGGGGGTGAATTACTGCCCCCCGCCCACCCTGCATTTCCCCCTGAGTCCTGAGGGAGCTGGAGGCTGGCTCACCCCTCGGTGCTCCTGATGCAGCATCTCCCTGGCTGCTGCCGTCCTGCGGTCGCTCACGTGGACCCTTCCCGCCTCTCCGCAGCTTCATCGGCCATTCTCTCGGCAACATCATCATCCGGTCGGTCCTCACGCGGCCCCGGTTCCGGTATTACCTCAACAAACTCCACACCTTCCTGTCGCTGTCCGGGCCCCACCTGGGGACTCTGTACAACAACAGTGCCCTGGTCAGCACAGGTAAGACGCCGCCAGCACCGGCACCCCTCAGCACCATGCGGGGCCCAGGGGAGGGCAAAGCAGAGATGAAGGCTCTTCCTCATGGAGCCTCCTGGCTTTGGAGCCAGCCTCTTCAGAGTGGTGGTGCTGGTCAGCCACTGTCCCACACCTGTGCCTGCCTGCCCTCAGGGTGGACTGGGCTGCTTGATGTCCTCATAGGAGGTGGCTCAGATCCGTTTGCTTTCACATTATTGCAGAACATAAGCTGGGAACATGGGTTATTTGAGACATCAGTACATAACAAATGGAAGTTCTTTCCTTTGTCAAGCTGTCTTCCCTCACAAACCAAGGAAGCCAGTTTTGAACAGAAACAAATGATTTAGACCACATTTTCCCCAATAGTAATTTTGCAACACTAGTGAAATGTCTCACTGAAAAATGAGACGTTACCAATAATCCTTCCCATCTAGCATATTTAGAGTGATTTTGTATGGCTCACTCTCCTTATATTTGCATTCACACACATTTGCATGGCAGTAAGGCTTCCCAGGTGGCTCAGTGGTAAAGAACCCACTTGCAAATGCAGGAGACATGGGTTTGATCCCTGGGTTGGAAAGATCCCTGGAGTAGGAAATGGCAAACCACTCCAGTATTCTTGCCTGGAAAATCCCACAGAGAGAGGAGTCTGACAGGCTACAGTCCATGGGTCACACAGCTGAGCATGCACATCATCACGTCAATCATAATATATATACACCCTGTGTCTTATTTCCTTGCATCTTTATCAAATTTATTTATTTGTGCATGTGACATAATACTCTTCCATGTTAATGTCAGCATAACCAGAGTAAATAGCTGGACTTCTAAATGAAAGGTTGATTTTCACTTTTCTGTATCCTAAATGGATCTGTTCAGTTCAGTTCAGTCACTCACTCGGGTCCAACTCTTTGCAACCCCATGGACTGCAGCACACCAGGCTTCCCTGTTCATTACCAACTCCCAGAGCTTGCTCAAACTCTGATGCATTGAGTCAGTGATGCCATCCAGCCATCCTATCCTCTGTCATCCCCTCCTCCTCCTGCCTTCAATCTTTCCCAGCATCAGGATCTTTTCTGGTGAGTCAGTTCTTCACATCAGGTGGCCAAAGTATTAGAGCTTCAGTTTCAGCATCAGTTCTTCCAATGAATATTCAGGACTGATTTCCTTTAGAATGGTCTGGTTGGATCTCCTTGCAATCCAAGGGACTCTCAAGAGTCTTCTCCAACACCACAGTTCAAAAGCATCAATTCTTCAGTGCTCAGCTTTCTTTATAGTCCAACTCTCACATCCATACATGACCACTGGAAAAACCATAGCCTTAACTAGACGGACCTTTGTTGGCAAAGTAATGTCTCTGCTTTTTAATATGCTGTCTAGGTTGGTCATAGCTTTTCTTCCAAGGAGCAAGCGTCTTTTAATTTCATGGCTGCAGACACCATCTGCAGTGATTTTGGAGCCCAGAAAAATAAAATCTGACACTGTTTCCTTTGCTCCTCCATTTATTTGCCATGAAGTGATGATCTGGATGCCATGATCTCAGTGTTTTGAATGTTGAGTTTTAAGCCAGTTTTTTCACTCTCCTCTTTCATTTTCATCAAGAGATTCTTTAGTTTCTCTTTGCTTTCTGCCATAAGGGTGGAGTCATCTGTGTATCTGAGGTTATTAATATTTCTCCCGGCAATCCTTATTCCAGCTTGTGCCTCATCCAGCCCAGCATTTCACACGATGTACTCTGCATATAAGTTAAATAAGCAGGTTGACAATATACAGCCTTGACGTACTCCTTTCTCAATTTGGAACCAGTCTGTTGTCCCATGTCCAGTTCTAACTGTTGCTTCCTGACCTGCATATAGGTTTCTCAGGAGGCAGGTCAGGTGGTCTGGTATTCCCATATCTTTAAGAATTTTCCACAGTTTGCTGTGATCCACACAGTCAAAGGCTTTGGCATAGTCAATAAAGCAGAAGAAAATGTTTTTCTGGAACTCTCTTTCCTTATCTAGGATCCAACGGATGTTGGCAATTTGATCTCTGGTTCCTCTGCCTTTTCTAAATCCAGCTTGAACATCTAGAAGTTCTCAGTTCATGTACTGTTGAAATCTGGCGTGGAGAATTTTGAACATTACTTTGCTAGCGTGTGGGATGAGTACAATTGTATGGTAGTTTGAACATTGGCATTGCCCTTCTTTGGGGTTGGAATGAAAACTGACCTTTTCTGATCCTGTAGCTGCTGCTGAGTTTTCCAAATTTGCTGGCATATTGAGTGCAGCACTTTCACAGCATCATCTTTTAGGATTTGAAATAGCTCAGCTGGAATTCCATCGCCTCCACTAGCTTTATTCCTAGTGTTGCTTCTGAAGGCCCACTTGACTTTGCACTCCAGGATGTTTGGCTCTCATTAAGATCTCCTTAGTATAGTTCTTCTGTGTATTCTTGCCACCTTTTCTTAACATCTTCTGCTTCTGTTAGGTCCCTACCATTTCTGTCCTTTATTGAGCCCATCTTTGCATGAAATGTTCCCTTTGTATCTTATCTTTAATTTTCTTGAAGAGATCTCTAGTCTTTGCCATTCTATTGTTTTCCTCTATTTCTTTGCATTGATCACTGAGGAAGGCTTTCTTATCTCTCCTTGCTATTCCTTGGGACTATGCATTCAGATGGGTGTGTGTTTCCTTTTCTCCTTTGACTTTCACTTCTCTTCTTTTCTCAACTATTTGTAAGGTCTCCTTAGACAACCATTTTGCCTTTTTGCATTTCTTTTTCTTGGGGATGGTCTTGATCACTGCCTCCTGTACAGTGTCACCAACCTTTGTCCATAGTTCTCCAGGCACTCTATCAAATCTAATCCTTTGAGTCTATTTGTCACTTCCACTATATAATTGTAAGGAATTTGATTAAGGTTATACCTGAATGGTCTAGTGGTTTTCCCTACTTTCTTCAATTTAAGTCTGAATTTGGCAGTAAGGAGTCATCATCTGAGCCACAGTTAGCTCCCAGTCTTGTTTTTGCTGACTATATAGAGCTTCTCCATCTTTGGCTGCAAATAATATGATCAATCTGATTTTGGTATTGACCATCTGGTGATGGTCATGTGTAGAGTTGTCTCTTGTGTTGTTGTAGAGGGTGTTTGCTATGACTAGTGTGTTCTCTTAGCAAAACTCTGTAAGGAGCGTCTTTAAAGATTTCTTTCTTTTTTTTTTTTTTTTTTGTATTTCAGACTGTTTCCTTAGTCTAGATTTATGGAAGGGGATTGAAAAATCAAAGGGTTTGGTTAACTTCATGACTCCTGAAGCCTGTCTCATAAGATTTTATCTCTGCCTCCAGAATGTAACAATACATATGTACCTCTAACTTTCCAAGTATTTGCTAAATTGTACACTCTCCTTTTCAAGTTAACTAAAAGCTACAGGTGAACGTTAATCTTTCCCTATTCTTTTTTTTTTTTTTTTGATTGGATCTGTTTGATATGGGTTTGGCTTGGTTTTCATCTTTCTAGGCTTGTGGCTCATGCAGAAATTGAAGAAATCCGGGTCACTTTTACAGCTGACCTTCAGGGATAACGCTGATCTGCGCAAATGTTTCCTCTACCAACTAAGCCAAAAGACAGGTGAGTGGATCTCCCAGCTGCACACCAAGGTGGTGATGAGTGAGAGCTGGAGAGCCAAACCTTGAGAGCCAAATTAGATTTAAGGCTGTGTTAATTCACTCACAGAAGGATGTCATCAGGAGTTGCAGTGTGACATAGCCTCCTCAGCTCACAGGGAGCCCAACAGCTACCCCTGGACTAGCTGCCCCTGGACCGCCTCCCCCGCACCCTGGGGACCAGAGACAGGTGTGTGCAGTGTCCTCTGCCCTAGAGCTGCAGCCTCCACTTCCCAACAAGCTTTCAATGTCCCCAGGTCTGTGTCCAACTGACAGCTTCTTTACCCAGGTGCAGATTCCCCTACCAAAAGGGCGGGTGGACACTGTCCATTTCTGTTGACAGGGCAGGGGGACACGGGGGTGCCTGAGATCATACCTTCACCCACACTTGCAATGAGGAAGCTCATACAGGTGTTGAAGACTCTACCTGCCAAGGGAATGAGCAGAGCACAGCAGTGACCTCATGTCCACTGAGGGAGCAGAGAGGTTGACCAGTTGTTCCACTGAGTCCTACCCAGCAACCTGGCCTGGCTCAGGGTCTGCCTCATGGCCCACAATCTTCCATCAGTGTCAGAACACTGACTCTGATGCTATCTCTGCCTCCCTGGGTGTGAGTCTGGCGTAGCCCTGGACTGATAGTAACCTTGGACAGGTTCCTTACCCCCCCATGTCTGTCTCTGTGTGCTACCATGAGAGCCACAGCCCCATGGGGAAAGGAGGGAAGCAGGCTTGGGCAGAGGAGCAGTCGGCTCACAGCGTGGCCCCTCCGGAGTTACCCTGCAGAGGGAGGAGGGCTGGTACCTGCCCCTTGCCGGTCACTGAGAGTCCACCAGCCCCCAGCTTGTGGTCTTGGGCTGTTATCTGGGATGAAAAGGCTCATTTCATTTGGAGGCATCCCCCACAGGGTCCCTGGGCTGAAAGCAGTCCGCTGGGGGACCTGGGTGGAGCACCGCAGAGCTGGGATATCCCCAGTGAGCTCGGGGACTGAAAGAATAGGCTGTGATGCTTCAACTGGGAGATCCCTCTGTCTCAGAGCAGGCTGATTCAGGGAGGTGAGATGACCTGCAGAGCGATGAGGTCAGAGGCTATTTTCCTCCAGCAGGTGACATTACTGGGGCTGGAATGCAGGGGGCCATGCAGCTGGGGAAGAGGAGTGGAAAAATACTAGATTTACTTCCTTACGGACGCCTTATTGTTCCCATTTCAGAGAGGCATTTTTGTCACTTACCTGTTATTTATCTTCCACTGCTCAGGGTCGTGAGCTCCTTAGAGTCTGTGGCGGATGAGGTCAAAGCTGCCCCCTCCCCGCTGACTTGCAGAGCCTCTTTGCCCCTCCCAGACCCAGAGAGCATCATTCAGTGACTCTACCCATGAGTATGGTGTCTTCCCGCTTTTCCTTTCTCTCGGGCGCGTTTGTGAAATGTGTGCTAAGCAGAGGCTGTGGGTTGAAACTGCCTGAGCAAAACAGCACCCACCCGGCTTGTTGCAGGTCTGCAGTATTTTAAAAACGTTGTGCTGGTTGCTTCTCCCCAAGACCGCTATGTGCCCTTTCATTCAGCCAGGATCGAGATGTGTAAAACCGCCCTCAGAGACAGACACACAGGTAAGCCACATTTCCTTTCCTTTTTTTCCCTTCCCTTCCCGTTTCTCCTCCATCTCCTTCTTCTTTTTCTTTTCTCCTATCTCTTCTCCTTTCCTCTTCCTTCTTCTCCATTCTCTTGACTTTCTGATTTGAAAAGCAGAAGGAAATCATGATGAAGGCAACTCTGCCTAGTAGGGCGCATCAGATATTCTGCCAAGGACTAGGAACCAACACACACTGGCGGGTGTTTTTCTGTAGATCCCACTGCTGAACTTTTGCCCTCGCCTCTCATCCACCTTCCCTCCTCCCAGGCCCTGTTTACGCAGAAATGATCAACAACCTTCTCCGCCCTCTGGTGGATGCCAAGGACTGCACTTTGATCCGACACAACGTGTTCCATGCCTTGCCCAACACTGCCAACACCCTGATTGGCCGAGCAGCTCACATCGCTGTGCTGGACTCCGAGCTCTTCCTGGAGAAGTTCTTCTTGGTGGCAGGACTCAACTACTTCAAGTAGTGGCTTTGAGCGCGCGGGCCTTGGGGAGCTCGCCAGAAATGATTAAGATCCTTGAGGGCTCTGGCTGAGACATCCTTTTACAGACCTCTGTCATTCCAGGGTTGAACTCAGAGAGGAAGGCGCTGAGGGGTGGAGGGTGGGATGGAACTGGACATTCGAGGTGCTTCCATTTTCGGAGAGTTTGGGAAAGCTGAATCGATGGTGTCAAAGACAACAGACTTTGCCCGAACCTGTCTAGCCGCCTGGAGTCTCATTCAAGATGGTTTCTAGCAAAATTTGGAAGAAATAAAGAAACAGAATTCTTAGAGTTGGTGAGCCCACCTTCTTAACTCCCACTGGCTCACAGAGAGATGGCTCCAACTTAACTAGGCTTGTTGGGTATGTGACTAGTTCATAGCTTTATCATTTTTGATGCACTCAAGCATTTCAGAACTCAGGTTAACCTCTGTGCAGAAGTGGAACATATTTGTGTAAATATAATCCTTAATTGATTCAAATGTGCCACTTGTTCAAGACCATGTGAACCCATATTCTTATGCTCTCCTCACATTTTCTCAACAAAGGACAAAGGAATGCTTCATAAACTCTGGTTTTATTTCTTAACAGCAGCCGGTGGGGTGATCTGAGGTATAGAGTGATGTTATCAGTAAATGCAAGTTTGTTGCAGAGAAAAAATTAACTGGTGACCTGGCTGCTCCACCTAGTTCTCCAGATTTTTTCTATGCATAACCCTGGTTCACACATTATTTTTTGTGATTGCTGACATCTTTGTCTGTAGTAGGGAAAACAGACTGAGGCTAAACCTAGCAGAAGGTGGCCCTAAAATGAACACACACCTGGGTGAAGCTCCTGCTGATACACGTCCAAAGAAATGCTATGTTAGCATTTGATGCACTCGCAAAAAATTAAAACCATCCACATGGCCAGCTGCTTCTCCTCTCCATGGAAGGGGAAAGACATCTCAATGGAGGAGTGCTGGATTTAAAACCTCAGGGGGGGCTCTGAGAAGGGTGCTGGTTATCTTTCACTAGAAATGTCTTCTTGCCTTAGGAAAATAAAGGGCTAGGGAAGGTTACCATTGATTAAAACACACACACACATACACACAAGAGACAACAGGACAAATGTGAGATCAGAGAGAACAGCCAGGTTGGGGACTCTTAATTGTTATCGGTAAGTGACTTAAGGGGACTTTTGAAAAATTACTGGAGTGTTTAATATGGTCCTAAAGACTGAGTATGCACTACGGGCTAACAGAAGCCTGCAGGATCATCTAGTTGTAATGAAGGAACACATGAACAAGGCCTATAGGGATCATTGACACAGGAGTCACGTCTTCTGCAGACAGAAGCTCCTCCCACTTCTGCAAAAGTTGCTTCTGAAACTGTGCAAATTTGTCTGGAACCAGACTCCTGGTCCCAGCACCTGGACCATAACCTTAGTGATGCCCACCAGTGCCATGGTAGTAAGTCAAGGAATTCTAGGCTCAGCTGAGAATTTCAGTTCCTCAGGTAGTAACAGTGTGACTTTGAAGAACATAGTAGACCATGGCAATCAAGTCCAGGTAGACAACTTCACAGGAGAGCAGACTGAGGCATTTCTAAAGAAAGGAAAAGCTGGAGAGGGACTTGGAAAAACCTCCCACACAAGAGATTTAGGGTCTCTATGGGTCTTCTTCAAAATCTCATTGTTATCTTAGTCTTAACATGTATGGGATAATAATGCCTCGGGTCACTCTCCCACTGGGTATTTTTCCAAGCTCTTGATGGGCGTAGACTCTGGTTACTTGTAAACATGACCAGTCTGCTGTATGATGCAGAGTGGGTGTGGTTCCCACAGCGTAACCTGGGAAATTGCAGTTCTTACAAGTGCCCAAGGGCAGGGTGGGACCATGGTTTATAGCATCTTCTCCTTTTTGGCCAAATGAGGAGCATTTCATGTTTGTGTTTCCTGTGCCCATCAGCAAAGTTTGTCATTCCCTGGTCATCTGAAAGACCGTGCAGCCAGCGGCTCTGAAGCCAGGGTGAATCGATGACCGTCGTCTTTTCCAATAACCAGATGCCATTTTTAACTTCAATATGCTGTCTGGACATAGAACTAATGGCAATAAACATCCAGCTGTGTGGTGCACCTCTTTTTTATAGGGGTGCTCTGCCGTCTTTGTAAACCCTCTCTGGCCTCTGAGCATCTATTATAATTGTGTAGAAAGTATACATCTCTATATTGTAAATAAGAGTGTCTAGTGTTGCGTGTCACGCCTCATTTGAAAGGCTTTTTTATGTCTCTTTCTATCGAAGTATAGACATATAATATATATATATATACATAAATATACATATAATGTAAAACAGGGGCATTCTATTATTGACTATAAAATTATAACAAAATGCCTGCCAAGATAATAATAGTAGGTCTTCATTCTCAACAGAATGTTTGTTTTTGTCTTTATGATTTGTTGAATTTCTCAGAACTAGTTTAGAAGTAAAAATGACTAATATTGAGATGAATGGGAATTTGTTGTTCATGAGCCAGATATACCCAGAGAAACAAATGTGAAGCTAATGTCACCTTGGGGCAAAAGTGATACCTCCATGGCAGGTTGAAATCAGCTGGAGTGCTGTGTGCCCGGGGAGCAGGTGGGGAGAGAATGGATTCCTATTGGTTTCTGGAGCCCACAGGTATTCACTGAACGGCTTTCGTCTGTGTCAGGTGGGAGCACAGGGCTAAAATGCGGTCTGTATCCTCAGAGAATGCAAGAAGATCCAGCCTTGTTAGTAAAACATGGTATAATGAGGACTTTGATGAGACATAGAAAGGCTCAAAGGGATTCTAGAAGTCTAGTCTTCATTGCCTGGAGAATAAGAATGGGGCTTTCAAAGTGAGACCTGGAAAGGGAGATACTGACTTTGCACAGCCTGTTACCACCAAGTGCATGCATTCATCAATTCATTTATTCACTCATTCAATCATTCATTCAACAAATGCAGCTCGAGGGCTTACTGTGTGCCGGGAATGTATTGGTAAGATTCAGTAGTTCATAGTTTAGCTAGGAATATGGCCAATCAGATAAGAAGTTAGAGCAGGCAGGCCCCATAGAGGTGGCAGGGATCTGATGGGGGCTTAGAGGAGGGACCTGCAGATGTAGGGCGGCATGTGATCAGGAAGGGCCTTGTAGAAGATTCCGTGTCTACACCCAGATGCCAGGCTGAAGAAGAGTTGGCTGGGTGGAGGGTGGGTTGTGGGAACCCTCAGGGAGGGAACAGGGTAAGTGAAAGGTTTCAGATGAGAGAGAGCTGAGAACCTTTGTTACATCGGACAGGCAGATAGAGAATCCCCTTTGGTACAAGAAAAGAGGTGCAGGAAGTTAGCCACCATGGGGATTGTCTTCTTATATCAGGAGAAAATTTCCATCATTAACACTAGTAGGGAAATTTCTGCTCAGTAAGGAGGGTCCCGTGAGAAACCAAGGTTCACACCTGTCATCACATCTCTCTCCAGAGGTGTGATGCTTTACTGAACCTAAAGCATCATCTTAGGTATTTTGCTGCATGCTGCTGTTTAGTTGCTAAGTTATGTCCAACTCTTTTGCAACCCCATGAACTGTGGCTCACCAGGCTCCTCTGTCCATGGGATTTCCCAGGCAAGAATACTAGGGTGTTTTGCCATTTCCTTCCCCAGGGGATCGTTCCTTCCCAGGGGATGAGCCTGTGTCTCCTGCATTGGTAGGCAAAGTCCTTACCATCTAGCCACCAGGGAGGCTATTCTTAGATACTTACAAGCCCCCAACTTAGGGCTTCCCTGGAGGCTCAGATGGTTAAGGGTCTGCCTGAGATGAAGGACACCTGGATTTGATCCCCGAGTTGGGAAGATCCCCTGGAGAAGGGAACAGCTACCCACTCCAGTGTTCTGGCCTGGAGAATTCCATGGGCTATATAATCCATGGGATCACAAAGAGCTGGACACAACTGAGAGACTTTCAACTTCAAATGTAACTGACAGGTGTTTTGTGTTTTTTTTTTTTTTTTGCCATGCTTCTTGCTTTGATAAGATCCCCTGGAGAAGGGAACGGCTACCCACTCCAGTGTTCTGGCCTGGAGAATTCCACGGACAGAGGAACCTGATGGGCTACAGGCCATGGGGTTGCAAGGCGTTAGACACGACTGAGCAAGTAGCACTTTTCTTGCCCTGACTTCACATAATTTACTTCTAAGCCTCTGCAATAACCGGGCCGCCATGTGCACCTGCACAGGTTGAATACAAGGGAAGTGAGGTCACGGCCCCGAGCACATCGAGGAATGCCATTGTCTTATGCCATTCTTCCGAGGAGTCTTTCTCAATATCCCTAGGAAGGGTGAATGCCGTTCTTTAATTTACACAGCCAAACACCATGTACTGAAATCTGGATCCATTTTTTCTTTTTTTTATTCACTTATTCTTTCCATGTTTTATTATAAATCTCTTTTGTGTTGGTTGTCGTCCTAGGCTGTAGAGATATTAAGATACATCATATAATTCTAAACACTACAAGGATCTGGATCAGCCATCAGACGTCATGTTTTATTTTTAGCTGTTAATTTTTAAATTAAAACCCTGAAATATCAGAACTGGAAGAGGACCAAGGGGTTGTTTCATCCAGACTCTACCTGATATTTAGCATCTGAGCTTTGTTTTCCCAACCTCCACCAACCACGTGAGTCTTCATCCATGTATGTCAATATACGCTGTTTTGAACTTACAGGCAGTGGTACATGCCTGCCTGCCTGAATGCTTCTTTCAGACAAAGGACTGCCCCACGGAGACTTTTCTAAACCTTCAAGGTGCCTTCCCAAGTCTTTCTGTGTCCCTTTCTCTTTTGCCTTTTTTTCAAAGCTTTTTATCCCCAAAGTACCTCTTTACCATTACACATGACACTAGAGATATTGCAACAGAAAACACTATGGAAAGTCTCGAAAAATGTGAACTTCTCCCAGTGCTTGCTTTTATGTTGAATGCTAGTAACACACCTCACTATTCAGTGGGTCAAATTCTAAAAGCCAGTTTTAATTTTAGGGGAAAAGGCTCCAGTGCCTTCCCTCACACAAAGGAATGTCCTTATGTGTAGAAGTACGCTTAGAGCAGATGTAAACATGTGGCCGTGTGGGTGATGCTCTGTTTATATCTAACCCAGGTCATGTCCCTACAGTCGGTCTTTTCAAAACTAAATTATCAAGTGTCTCCACGTGTGTGTGTCTTCATTTCATAGATGTGGTTATGATCATATAACTGTGAAGCACGATCCTCAAACCCAAAATTTCATGACTTAACATGGATTCAGAGACCTCTAGAGGTAAGACAAATCCAGGCTCTCATTTATCTTCTTTTTAACATGTGAAGGGGCAAAAGAATGGAAATAACATGCAGCACTCAACTTTGGTTTGCTAGGTCATGTGCACCTATGAGTTCATTTAATCTTTAAAACTCACACAGCATGAAGATCGTGTTGGGAGAAGTCAGGTAACTTGACTAAGGTCACACAGCTCAGCCATGGTGGAGTCAAGATTCAAGCCCTGAGCTTCCCTGTTATCCTTCATGCTATTCA